TTAAAATGCATTTAGAACTTTCAAGCATACAGTGAAGTTGAATGAATAGAGTGAACATTCACATATTCTCCACCTAGATTTTATCAGTAACATTTTACTGTACATGGTTTATCACATATCTATCCATATTTTCAAACATTACCAGTTGATCCATTTTACTTTAGAAACATTACAAAATAAATTATAGCTCTATGTATACTTTACCCTGAAAACTTTAGAATGTCTACCAGCAGCTAGAGTTCAATATTTATCAGTAGTGTCTTCTATTTAAAATTTACAGAAATGAAACACACAAATCTTAAATATATGTTTGTATGACAGATTCATACACCATCATAATACAAACTCCAATGAAGATATAGAATGTTAACACTACCAGAAATTTTCCTCATGCCCTATCCTCATATATTTACTCCTAACCTCTATTATTCTTTCCTTTTTCACAAATTAATTTTGCCTATTTTAGAACTTCATATAAATAAAATAACATAATACATAGTCTTTTTTATTAATTAATTTATTTTTGTTACAGATGTTTCTCCTTTTTCCCCCATTGATACCCCCTTCTCCCCCTCCCCACTCCATCTTGTTGTCCATGTCCATTGTTCATGCATACATGCATATAAGTTCTGTGGTTTATCTCCCCCTGCCACCCCTTCTTCTGGGGATTTACATGAGGCTTATCTCACTCAGAACTTTGTGTCTTTTTTTCATCACTGAGTAGTATTCTATAGTATAAACAAACCACCATTTGTTCATCCATTCTCTTATTGATGAGGAACTGGGTACTTTAGAGGTTAGGGCTATTATGAATAAAATTGTTATGAAAAATATTTGTACATCTATTTTTGTAGACATATACTTTCATTATTGTTGATAATTACCTAGGAAAGGAATTAATGGGAGATATTTTCTTGCTATTTTCAAAGAAACAATTCTTGACTTTGCTGTTCTCTATTGTTTTAAATTTCTATTTCCTTCATGTCTGCTTTATTTTATTATTTTTTAATCCTCACCCAAAGATATCAAGAATATTTTTCTGTTTATTTTCAGATAGAGTGGGTGTGTGAGAGAGGGAGTGAAAGGGAGAGAGACGAACATTAAGGTGACAGGGACACATCCACTGGTTGCCTCCTGCATGACCCCAACCTGGGCCAGAGATGAACCTTAACCTAGGTACATACCCTCAGCAGGAATCAAACTTGCGAGTCATTGGTCCACAGGCTGATGCTTTACCACTGAGCCAAACTGACCAGGGTTGCTCCTGACTTTATTATTTCCTTTGTTCTTAATTTTCTTCACTGTTTTTATACCTTCCTGTGATGGAATCTTAGGTCACTGATTTTAGAATTTCATTTTCTTTCTAATATATATATATATATATATATATATATATATATATATATATATAATTTGCAGCTAAATATTTTCTACTGAGCACTGCTTTAGCTGCAATCCATGAATATTCTACAGCTGTATGCTCAGATATATTTCTCCTTGTCTTTTATGTATCTACTATTGGTTTTTGCTTTGTGGTTAACATAAGGCTTACATAAAAATCTTATATTTATAAGTCTATTTTAAACTGATAACAACTTGACTTCACACACATATTATAACTCTACATTTTTACTCACCAACCTCACATTTAATGTTTTTTATGTCATAATTTGCATATTTTACCTGTGTATTCATGAAGAAATTGATGTAGTTATAGTTATTTTTAATACTTTCCCTTCTAATATTTATAATAGATTTATCACTGATTTACCCATCACCATTATAACTCTAAAGCATTCTGAATTTAACTATATATGTATCTTTACTAGTGAAATTTATACTTTTATATGTTTTTTGATTGCTAATTAGCACACTTTTTTAAGACCAATAATTTTATTTACCTATTTTCACATGACATTATGTTTTTTTTTTTTCATTTTTGTTTTAATTAATTAATTATTTTGGTTACAGATGTTTCTCCTTTTTCCCCTACTAATTCCCCCTTCCGCCCCTCCCCACCCTGTCCCCAGCTTTGTTGTCCATGTCCATTGTTCATGCATAAATGCATATAAGTTCTGTGGTTTATCTATCCCCCACCACCCCCTCTTCTGGGGATTGTCAGTCTGTACACCACTTCCACCTCTCTGGGACTACCCCATTCCTCAGACTGTTATGTTCATTACATTCCACAAATAAGTGAGATCATGTGGTATTTGTCTTTCTCTGATTGGCTTGTTTCACTTAGGATAATACTCTCCAGGTTCCTCCATGTCATCTCAAAGGATAAGAGATTTTTCTTTCTTACAGCTGTGTAGTACTCCATAGTGTATATGTACCACCTCTTTTCCATCCATTTGTCTACTGATGGACATTTGGGCCATTTTCAGATCTTAGCTAAATAGTGCTACTACGAACATGGGGGTACAAATATTCTTTCTGATTGGTGTTTCAGGCTTCGTAAGGTTTATTCCTAGAAGTGGGATCACTGGGTCAAATGCCAGTTCATTTTTTGAGGTAACACCATATTGTTTTCCATAGTGGCTGCACCAGTCTGCATTCCCACCAGCAGTGTACTAAGGTCCCCTTTTCTCCACACCCTCGCCAACACTTGTTGCTTCATGATTTGTTGATGGCGATCATTCTGATAGGTGTGAGGTGATAGCTCCTTGTTGTTTTAATTTGCATCTCTCTGATGTTAGTGATGTTGAGCATTTTTTCATATGTCTCTTAGCCATTTGTATGTCCTGTTTGGAGAGGTGTCTATTTAGGTCCTCTGCCCAGTTTTTGATTGGGTTCTTTGTCTTCTTTTGTTGAGTTGTATGAGCACTCTACATGTATTGGACATTAACCCCTTAAATGATATATCATTGTCAATGATGCTCTCCCATACAATGGGTTGCCCTTCCATTTTGATGATTGTATCTTTTGCTGTGCAGAAGCTTTTGAGTTTGATGTAGTCCCATGTGTTCATTTTCTCCTTTGTTTTTGTTGCCTAAGGTGATATATCAGTGAAAATTCTGCTGTGTATGACGTCTGAAATTTTATTGCCTACATTTTATTCTGGGATTTTTATGGATTCATGAATCACATTTAAGTCTTTTATCCATTTTCAGTTTATTCTTGTGTATGGTGTAGTTTGATGGTCTAGTTTCATTTCTTTGCATGTAGCTGTCCAATTTTCCAACACCATTCATGAAAAAGGCTGTCTTTACTCTACTGTATGCTCTGGCCACCTTTGTCAAATACTAATTGGGCATATTTCCTTGGGTTCATTTATGAGTTCTCTATTCTGTTTATTTCTTTGGTTAAGTTTACTCCTAGGTATCTTAATGTTTTTGCCATGATGGTAAATGGGTTAGTTTTTTTAGTTTCTCTTTCTGTAAATTCATCCTTGGTGTATAAGTATACTGTCAATTTTTTGACCTTAATTTTGTATCCTGCTACTATGCCAAATTCATTTATTAAGTCTAGTAAATTTTTGATGGAGTCTTTGGGGTTTTCTAAGTATAGTATCATGTCATCTGCAAATAATGACAGTTTTACTTCCTCCATTCCAATTTGGATCCGGTTTATTTATTTATTTTTCCTGTCTTATTGCTGTGTCTAAGTCTTCTAGTACTATGTTAAATAAGAGTGGTCAAAGAGAGCATCCTTGTGGTTTTCCTGTTCTTAAGGGAAATGCTTTAAATTTTTGCCCATTGAGGATGATGTTGGCTGTAGGTCTTTCATATATGGCCTTTATTATGTCAAGATATGATCCCTCTCTTCCCAGATATCTGAGGGTTTTTATCAGAAATGGGTGCTGGATTTTGTTGAATGGTTTTTCACCTCTATTGATATGATTATATGATTTTTATCTTTCATTTTGTTTATGTGGTGTATCACATTTTTTTTTTTTTGATTTATGGATATTCTATTAGCCTTGCATGCCTGGTATGATTCCCACTTGGTCATGGTGAATAATTTTTTTGATGTATTGCTGGATTCGATTTGCTAGTATTTTGTTCAGGATTTTGGTGTCTATGTTTATTAGGAATATTGGTCTGTAGTTTTTTTTTTTTTTCTTTTTAGTGTCGTTTTCTGGCTTTGGAATTAGAAGTATGCTGGCCTCATTAAACGAGTCTGGAAGTCTTCCTTCTTGAATTTTTTGAAATAGTTTGAGGAGAATGGGTATTAGTTCTTTTTTGAATTTTTGGTAAAATTCCCCTGTGAAGCCGTCTGGGCTTGGGCTTTTGTTTGCCTGGAGAGTCTTGATTGCCTCTTCAATTTCTTTTGCTGTAATTGGTTTGTCCAAGTTTTCTGTCTTTTCCTCGTCCAATTTTGGAAGACTATGTATTTCTAGAAATTTGTCCATTTCACTTAGATTTTCAAATTTGTTGCCATATAATTGTCCATAATATTTGTTAACAATTTTCAGTATTTCAGTTGTGTTAGTTATTACTTCTCCTCTTTCATTTCTCATTTTGTGCATTTGTGTTCTCTCTCTTTGTTTCTTGGTGAGTCTAGCTAAGGGTCCATCAATCTTGTTTATCTTTTCAGAGAACCAGGTCTTTGTTTCATTGATCCTTTGAATTGTTATTTTGGTCTCCATGTCATTTATTTCTGCTCTGATCTTTACTATTTCCTTCCATGTACTTGCTCTGTTTTGTTGTTGTTGTTGTTGTTGTTGTTGTTGTTGTTTTTTGCATTCTAGTTATTTAAGTTGTGAGGTTAGATAATTTACTAGAATTTTTTTGTTTGTTTATTTCTTGAAGTAGGCCTGTAGTGTTATGAACTTCTTTCTCAAAACTGCTTTTGCTGTATCCCATAGACTTTGTGTTGTTGTATGTTCATTTTCATTGGTTTCCAGGAAGTTTTTAATTTCTTCCTTGACCTCCATGGTAATCCATTCACTGTTCAATAACATGCTATTTAGCTTTCATTTTTTCAAATGTCTTTGCATGTTCTTGTTAGAATTGATTTCTAGTTTTATGCCATTGTGATCTGAGAAGATGCTTGATAAAAATATGGAACACTTTACGAATCTGCATGTCATCCTTGGGCAGGGGCCATGCTAATCTATTCTGTACATTTCAGTTTTAGTATATGTGCTGCTGAAGTGAGCACTAATTAGCACTCTTTCATTTCAACTACAAGAAGTCCCTTAACATTTCTTGTAAGGCTTGTCCAGTGGTGATGAACTCCTACAGCTTTTGCTTGTTTGGAAAACTCCTTCAATTATGGATGGGTTTTCCAAGTAAAGTATTCTTGGTTGGCAGTTTTATTTCCAATACTGAATAGATCATGCCATTCCCTTCTTAGGAGTCACTCAGCTAGGTTCTCAATCTCTCTCTCTCTCTCTCTCTCTCTCTCTCTCTCTCTCTCTCTCTCTCCCCCTCCCTCCCTCCTTCCCTCTACCCCTTTCTTTCTTTTTTTCTTTCTTTCTTTCTTTCTTTCTTTCTTTCTTTCTTTCTTTCTTTCTTTCTTTCTTTTCTTTCTTTCCTTCCTTTCCTTCCTTCCTTCCTTCCTTCCTTCCTTCCTTCCTTCCTTCCTTCCTTCCTTCCTTCCTTCCTTCCTTCCTTCCTTTCTTTCTTTCTTTCTTCTTTCTTCTTTCTTTCTTTCTTTCTTTCTTTCTTTCTTTCTTTCTTTCTTTCTTCTTTCTTTCTTTCTTTCTCTTTCCCTCCCTCCTTCCTTCCTTCCTTCCTTCCTTCCTTTCATTCTTTCTTTTTTTTTCATTAATTCACTTGTGTTAGAGATGTCTCTCTTTTTTTCTCCCATTGACACCCTCCTCCTGATCTTACCCTCTCTCCAGCATTGTTGTCTATGTCCATTGGTTATGCATATATGCATGTAAATTCTGTAATCCATCTCCTCTCTCCCCACCATCCCCCTCTTCTGAGGTTTGTCAGTCTGTACCCCACATCCATGTCTCTGGGTCCATTCTGTTCATCAGTTTGTTTTGTTCATTATATTCCACAAATAAGTAAGATCATGTGATACTTGTCTTTCTCTGACTGGCTTATTTTGCCTAGCATAATGCACTCTAGGTCTCTCTATGTCATCTCAAATGATAAGAGATCTTTCTATCTTACAGCTGCATAGTATTCCATTGTGGATGTGTACTACAGCTTTTTTATCCACTCACTATTGATGGACACATGGGCTGGGTCCAGAGGTTTTCAATTGAAAACAGTGCTGTTGTGAACATGGGGGTACATATATTCTTTCTGATTGGTGTTTCAGGATTCTTAGGACATATTCCTAGGAGTAGGATCACTGGGTCAAATGGAAGTTCAATTTTTAAAGTTTTGAGGAAACACCATATTGTTTTCTATAGTTGCTGCACCAGTCTGCATTCCCACAAGCAGTGTACTAGAGTCCCCTTTTCTCCACACCCTCACCAACACTTGTTATTTGATGATTTGTTGATGGCAGCCATTCTGGCAGGTGAGAGGTGATACCTCATAGTAGTTTTAATTTGTCTCTCTTTGATGAGTAGTGATGTTGATCCTTTTTTCATATGTTTCTTGGCAATTTGTATGTCCTGTTTGGAGAAGTATCTGTTTAGATCTTCTGCCCATTTTTTAACTGGTCCTTTGTCTTCATTTTGTTGAGTTGTATGAGTGCTCTATATACTTTGGAAATTAACCCCTTATCTGATGTATTGGTGGCAATTATGTTCTCCCATATAGTGGGTTCCCATTCTATTTTGATGCTTGTTTCTTTTGCTGTACGGAGCTTTTTAGTTTGATGTAGTCCCATTTATATATTTTTTTCTTTTTTCTTTTCTCTTGCTTTAAGCATTGCATCTATGAAAATTCTGCTGCATATGATGTCTGAAAATTGTTTGCCTGTATTTTCTTCTAGGATTTTTTATGGATTCATGAGTCACATTTAAGTCTTCTACTCATTTTGAGTTTATTCTTATATATGGTGTAAGTTGGTGTTCTAGCTTCATTTTTTGCAAGTAGCTGTCAAATTTTCCCAACACCATTTATTAAAGTGGCTTTCTTTACTCCATTGTATGCTCTTGCCACCTTTGTCAAATATCAATTGAGCATAATGTCTTGGGTCAATTTCTGGGTTCTTTGTTCACTTCCACTGATCTATATGCCTGTTCTTGTGCCAGTTAAATTCTCAATTTCTTTCAGAGGGAAATGCTCCATGTATAGCTATAGATTTACTGTCTGTGGAGGAATTGAGTTCGGTATCCTCTGATTTTACCATTCTCTGCAATCTACAAATATATATTGTTACATTTTTTTATTATTTTTCAGTTGAAAATATTTTTAAATTACCTATATTATATTTCATTTTGACTCATGGATTATTTAGAATTGTTTTTCTGAGGAACCTCTGTACTCTGATTTATAACTAGAAATAGTTGTTTTTGTTTCATCAAGCTATTAACTTAGTTGGATGCAAATGACAAACTCTGTCTCTTGAGCAGGAGTTGAAATTTAGGTTTATTTTTTATCTTTATCATGGCTACATTCTGTTATTTGTCTGCTGTCTGCTGTGGACATGCGTAATTCTGGGACTAGCAGAGATTTGATAGAGCTTATACACAGAATGTAGGGTTCTCCTTCTATGTTTCTCTCCATTATTAATTTTCAACATATTTTTCTACTGATTGTAGTTGCCCCAAACTCTGTCTACTGGGTTTTTAAGCCAGAAAGCCCATGGGCTTTTTAGGCCAATTTTAACTACTCAGTGTGTACTTATAAATATTTAATTACTACACATCTGAAAATAATATAAATAAAATCCTGATTTTAGCATTTTCTGATTTCCAAGTTATAAAAATACCCACCATAGCCAATATCAAACTATGTGTTTCACTAAACATTTGGTTGGGAAGTGGTACCCAAAATTAATCATCATTAGCCAGTGTAAATTGGCAATGGTAACCATTTGTGAACATCTCACATGATGGAGATTTTAGCCTAGCCTAAAGATAAAAGCTATAAAAATGAGATACCTCTGCTTTATACTTTTTTCAAATGTCAGTTCTTAAAATTTCAGAATCTGCTTACTTTTGCAACTTTTTAATATATTAATCTTGTTAGTTTTTCTTAATGTTGTTGTCATTGTTGTTTATTAATTTTCCTTTTCATTTAAAATTTATTAATAATTAGGGGGTATTATTTATGGGCAAGCAGGTTCTAGCAGTACCTCATTTAATTATGCTAGAAGTAGAAATCCAACAATATTTTGATACATGCTTTTTAAATTCTAATCACATTTCTTAACCTATTATCTGGTTCATTGCTATAAATACTGTTTAGTAGCCCATGATATGTATTTAACATATTTAATTATACATTTATTTTGTGATTACCCAGAGTTGCCTCCAAAGACCCAATTCCACTAATAATGCTTCAAATATTTTAAACTTTTTCTAAGACGTACATCAAAGAGTGGGTCATGTGGTATGCATATTCTTAATTTCACTGTTTTAACCAATTTTTTTCTAGAACTACTTTTTTACACTTTCACAAGAAGTGCATTAAGTATAACAATTCCCCACATTTTAGACAATAGTTGGTTATATACAACTGACACATTATTTTGCTGATCATAAATTGGTGTCATTTTATTGCTTTACTTTATATTTATCTAATTATAAATAGCGTAAGCATTTCTGTATATACTAGAAACCAATTAGGCTTCTCTTTCCATCAATTATCTATTCTGATTCATTTTGCTACCATATTTTCTCTTTTTTCTCAATTTGTAGAAATTATATATTCCACACTTTAATCTCTATCAATTTTAGACGTTGCATAAGTTTTCTTTCTATCAAACTGATAATTCATTTTTGAACAAAATTCTTGTTTCTTATAGACCAATTCATTGATTTTTGTATCTGGTTATTTATACTTTTTAAGACTTGTTAAACGTTCTTGTTCAATCCAAAGCCATAAAAGTTTTCTGCTACATTATTTTTATTTCTGTTTTATAATTTTACCAACATGATAAATAAGGTAAATAATAAAAAATAAAATAATTAAGCTCAGAAATTCCTGGGCCTCATTCTAGACCTACTTAATCAGAATCTTTGGGACTAGGGGCCTAGAATTTGCATTTTTTATAAGCATCTATCATAGAGCCAGTTTCCAGATGTATTTGGGAAGCTCCCAAATGTATGATATACAAAGTTATCTCTAAATTTGGAATTCCTAAAGAAACTATCAACATTCAGTTTAAAAAATGATGTATCTCTAATACATGATACTTTACTATTCTACAAGAACATCTAGCTTGGTTTTCTTATTGAACTCCAGAAGATGCAAAAAGTTTAGGGAAATAAATATTATCTTTACTTCTGAAATTATTTTTATTTGATTTATTTGACAAATATTTAGGGAATATCTACTGGGTGTCAGATATCTAGACTAATATAGATGGGTCCCTCCCCCTCATCTCTGCCTAGTAATATTCAGATAGGGAAAATACATTTACTGGAACTAGTAGCATTGGTCATAAAATATCTTCCCTGTGTTCTTGAAGAGTGAAGAAACTGCCATAAGAAGCATGTTACAGCAGAACCTTCCAAGCCAACTCACAACCAACCATGTCTTCACATACCTTTTTTAGGTTTTTTTTTTTTTTTTTTTTTTTTTTTTTATTGTCTTTGCAAACTTGACCACAGCTGAGATAAATTCCAAAAGAGTACAATGCTTGATATTTAATTAGCATAAGTATTCAGAGTAAGCTGAATAATAAAATTAGAAAATTATTCTTCTATTACTTTGGGACTTTATTTTTTTCCACTTTATTGATTTTACAGAGAGAGGAAATGAGAGCGAGAGAGAGATAGAAGCATCAATGTGTGATAACGTTGATTGGCCACCTCCTACATGTCCCCCACTGGGATCAGGCCCACAACCTAGGCATGCATCCTGACCAGGAATCAACCAGCAACCTCTTGATGCATGGGTCAATGCTCAACCACTAAGCAACACCGGCCTGACTGTGACTTTATTTTTAAAGTAATTTATACAGTTGTATAATTAAGAGATAAATGCATTGTACAGATTCACCACAGTCTATTTTAATTTGGCCTCTTGTCAATCATGAACTTAGGGAAGAACTAAGAATAGAATACAATCACCATTCCTTCA